ATGCGGTTAAGGGGTTCAGCTCACAAACTACAGAGAACAAATCCAGATAGCTAGGGGAGTGGAACCAAGGACCACTAGATTTCAAATCTAGAACACTTAACCACTCAGCCATGCGGCCTCCACACCTGTGAGAGAGTTACATCAATAGTTAATTTTTTCTAACCTTTTTTTATGTTGAAATGGTGTGTTATTGAAAAATTTTGTTCAATTTTGTTTTACCAGTGAACTTCACCCCACTATGAAAAAACTTTTAGCTGGGGATGGAATCATACATCAATTGCCCAAGAATTAATTTGCCTGGTCACATTGCCTCCCAAAATCTATTCTGGTGTAAGAAAATTGAACTGACTTAAGAGTGGCCTTTTGAAAATGCAGATTTGGACTCAATGTGTCCTTTCCTTCAATTGTACTCTGTTAGTTTGTGTTTGCAAATTTACTAATTGAAGAACAAAGTCATTTCTCATTTTATCAATTCATCTAAGCAACTTTTCAACATTTCACACTGGACTAATATGTCAAATGCTTAAACTGCAATAGCTCGTAACAATACTCGAAAAGTCTGTTTACCCTATGTTGATGAGGTTAGTTGCTTTTGTTTTACTGCAACTGCCCTAACATCATTTAATGTTTAACTCACATCCACTTGTACTTGTAGGAAGATGTAAGCTTGGCACAGCTGCGGTCATTATTGGCCTTCCAGACCTTGCATTAGTCACAAGAGTGGCAGTTGAAGAGGCTGCAATGTTGGCTGTGGATGTTAAGATCAAAGGTAAGTGGTCAATAATAGCAGTCAATGGCTGTATGATTCAGGTGTTGAGATCAAGGAACAGCGATTATAGTTTTCTTCCTGTACAGCTGGGAACTCTACAGGCCCCACCTCTCTTAGCTGCTTATGAAAGTAGAAGGTAAATAGATACCCGCTTTAACCCTCCATCAATTATCAATGGGATTGTCTTGGGCTGTGGATGAAAGAAAATAAAATTTTGGGGGTGGTGGGCTTGCTATGATGGCATCTTTTATCTTTATAATAATTATTTCCTAAAAGGTTGGGATATAAATTGATCTTTCTTTAAAGGGACTAAGAATGTTATATTGTGTTATTTCTGAGGGGGTGGGGCATCACTTGGCCTTTGATATTTTTTCTTTGGGTATAAATTGTGACTTTAACTGATTAATTAGGGGTGCATGTCTATTAAATGGAATGGTCCTCAGCAATTGATGTCCATTTTTACTAGGTGGTTGTTTGCGTGGTTATGGAATGTTACGGTAAGTCAACTTACATCCACTGGAAGAGGCTGAACTAGTATTTGCTTGGCTGTT